GGGGGGCATCATCCCTGGATACATGTGGGATGGCATCATTGGCATTCCGGGTGCATTCTGAACGGGAAATTCATTCGATGTTTGCGATTGATTAAAAACATTTGTCTGGGAGTCGGAAGAATTATTCCAAGCAGGATTAAAGAACTATATAAATATAGTATATAAATAATTTTTTTCACCAATAATTATCCTCCCCTAAAAAGTATGATTGAAATATAATTACCGGACCGTCACGTTGTTGAGATTGAGGATTAAGCGAGTTTCTATTGTTCGGTCTTTTTTGTTCCAATTGACGGTCATTCATTTTATTTTCATTTATTCCTTCGTTGCCTGTCATTGTTCCCCGAATGATATTTATTAGTCCAAATAGAATTACCACAATGAGATAAAAAAGAAATAGGAGGAGTAGTACCTTCACGAACCGACGACTTATTTGAATTACCATCACCTGATGTTACGGGAGGAGCCATCACGTGATTACCTTCTGTGTATGGAGGATGCGCGTAAGGGTTCTGAGGGTATTGGTTCATATGTTTTAAATTATTTTGCGTCTGATTCTGAACAAAATTTGTATCATTCTGTGGCGCTGTTCGAGAAGGTAAAAACGGATTTGGATTACTCTGTTGATGATTGAACAAAGAAGGACTTCCGCTCATTTCTTGAGGACCGTTAAACGAATCAGTCCCCCATACATTTCTAATCCCTGGTCGCCCGTAATGACCAAGTGTAGGGTTCCACTCAGTAGGAATGTTCATGTAGGGATTTGGCAAATGTGGCTGCATATCAGGTGGCAAAATTGGTGGTTGCATAGGTAACATATTAACATCATACATATTCATATGTGTTCCAAAAAAGGGAGGGCAAAAATGTCCAGAAGGCATCATTTGTGGTGGGAAATTTGGAATCGGACGACCTTGCTTCATAAAGAACGTACGATCCACTGGAGGAAAAGTTTGTACTCTTGTAGGATGATGTCGATTCTTTGCATTATTTCCATTATTTTTATTATTAGAGTTTTTGTTATTTCCAGCAGACTTATTTGCCTGCTGTGATTGTTTGCCACTCTTATTGTTCCCACCTTTGCCATTTTGTTGTTGCTGATTTCCTTTAGACTTGTTAGAGGATGACGAGTCACTATTCTGATTATCATTACTAGTTGGAATATTGGAACTTTTCACACTAGGACTCGAGTTAATAGACCCATCAGTGTCTTCCTGCTCATTCTCCCCATTTTTTTGTTCCAAATCTTTAAATATTCTGGCCCTAGCTTTTTGATATGCAGCTTCTCGCTCCTCGATTGTCAAAAGTTTACGTTCACCTTCAGAATTACTATCTGAATCTCCGGACCTAAGTTGTCCTTGAGGGTGCGATTGCTGCCGTCTCATAATTTTCACAGATTTCTCAGGTTTCTCTTCCTCTTGTTCAAGAAGATCAGAAAATCTGAGAATAGGTCTTTAAGCAATTGATAATTAAAAAAGGATCAACAAAAATTAGATCAGAAACTTTTTTTTTTCAAAAAGGATAAAAAAAAAAAACAAAGCATACATTTGAGTTTCTGCGGACTTGTACAAAACCACAGCCTTTCCGCTTGTATCAACCACATGTGATAATTTAAAGTATTGTGCGACACGATGAACAATAAGTCTTTGATAGGAATTCATAGGTGGAAATTCTAATCGCGTGCGACTATGATGATTAGTTGAAAAGCGATGATAAAAATTTAAATTATAACATAATAGAAAACGTACACAAAACTTTATTAATAAAGAGAAAATCATATACTTTTTTTCTTTTATAAATCGTTCCATTTCTCGATCTAATTTTAAGAGAAATAGTCTATCTTTTGGATTTTTAAGAGCAGCCAATAAGAATCCATCAAGACCCGTATTAAAATCGATTTCACCAAGATGCGCAGCTTGCTCTGGTGTCAGTTCACTTTCAAGGCTTGGCGATGATGTGTCAGACCTATTGGGGGTCGGTAATAATAATTCATACGATTGAACAACATTACTAGATCCTGCATTATTCGTAGGACTACTATTCAAATTGTTGTTATTATTAATCGTATTGTTGTTAATGTTTGGATTTCGTTTCAACAGTACAATCTTCTTGACCTCATTTGTTGAAGCTACGTTTGTTAAAGTCGAATCATCAACGACAACATTATTGATTGGAGACGTGTTTTCAGAAACGGACGTGACAAAGGAGGGCTTTATTAAAAAGAACATTGAATTAGAAATTTAGATAATAATTTTAAGTCGAAAAAAAAATAAAAAAAATAATTAATAATGATAATCTAAAATTTATTGTTCAAAGAAATAGACTTTTAAAGATAAAAAAGCAAGGAAATAGTTACCATGTTCTGGGACAAACTCTTTGACATTCTTTGAAGAGTGCAAAAGTTTTTCCGCACAGACACTTTCTAACGGGTTGTCGGAAATTTAGATTATAAAAATATATAGAAATAAAAGAAACCAAGTATCTGGAGGTACTAGGTAGATGTAATAATTATAAAAATATTTAGAATCTATAATACACAATAGTTAATATTTAAAAGAGAGGAATTTTTAATAAGAACAATAAGAACAATATAATATATATATATTTATATGAGAGAGAGAGATAAGAAAATAAATTGGAGTGCATTCGCTATCACCATACGTCGGATCAGGAAAAATGGATTGACGCAAACACGGCAAAAAAGTCGTGAACACCAACCAATTCTTTTTTATGATCAAGACATTCTCGATGGCCTCGAAGACGGACCAAATATTAATTAAAGGTATAGACACTTGAATAGGAACAATAAGATCAAATGTCGAAAAAGTTAATAAGAAGACGTATTGTCCACTAAAGAAAAGTTAGGAGAGTTAACTTTTTTCGTTGAAGTAGTCAACGCCTGTTGGTTATCCGTTGGAGAGGTTCCTAATTAGTTGTTTGTTGTGCAAAAAAAAAAAAAAAAAAAAAAAAAAGAATAAAAGAAATCTGAATGAAAATGATGTATAAAATTGTGATTTGTGATTTCTTGTATAATTGGGCATTTGAGTAAAATAAACCAATGAGATTTAGAGATTAATTAACATGATCTGCATTTAAAGATGTTCATATATCACATCATAAATAATTTTTTTTTACAATAAGTTAAAACGCTGTGCTTTCTTGAATCAAATAATTTTGTAACCAAAAATGGATGACTGGGACATCAGGCAAAAACCTAGAACCCGACTTCGTCCCTCATATATAAGATAATTTTCTCAAACAAAAAAGAGAAATTATTATTTTTTTCTGTCGTGATTTTTTTTATGATGTTGATCACTAACCATAAACGATTCATTTTTGCAATTAGCATTGCATTGCATTTACTATTTACGCTGCAAAATGCAGATCATTTGAATAAATAATAATTTTTGAAGAAATTTTAAAAGCACAATTTTTTTTCCAAAAATCTTTTCGTGTAATTAGTTCAAAGAACGCTCAGTTCACAATGAAATTAGCGGTAACAGAAGAAAGAAAATTAGATTTAACGCAAGAGTTCGTGTGTAAAGAAAAGAACCGCGCACAATTTAGTGTGAAAGGAAAGAATGAAATAAGATCAAAAAAACCGCAAATAAACTTCCATATTTCAAAAAGGTATTTGTAATATAAGAACTATAGAGCATGCGCATATTTGTTTGTGGCTTATAAATTGTCGATGATTTTTTTACTATATTTTTCCTAACAGATCAAACCAACGACAATGTTTTAATGAATATGGAACGTTTGTTATTTTTAAGCAAAAACGTGTTTTTATTTCTCAGAAGGTTCTAAGGTTCTATCACGGGGAGTCAAAAAAAAAAAAATTGAATTGATGAGTTGCGACCATTATTCCATAATTTTATAATGATGACCATGGAAATCAATAATACCCTTACACCTGAAGATAACTGTGGGTTTTTTTTATAGCATCACTTATTTATACAGATATAATTAATAAAATTGTCCAATTTCCTCATATTACTGTAAATCATAGTTCTTATTTAAAAGAAAATCATTTCATCCCTGAAAAAAATTAATATGTTCCACGTGAACATCGACGGATTATATTTATGCAAGTTTATTTAGTGTTATAAATACGTCACAATTTTTTTGCGTTTTTTTTTTAAAAAAATCAAATTTAGCATTTTAGAGTCGATCGAACAAGTTGAGGTGTTCTTGAAATTTGCTGCGCCCGATTTATAGTTTAAGGTTGTTTAGGTTAGGAATAGGTTCAAGGTTGGCATACAAATAGCCCCCTTTAAAGACGTTAGAGTTGGATGAGATGAACGTTGTAATTAAATGTTTCATTGTAGAAATCCGGTGAATAATTTCGATATTCTATTCTTCATTTACAAACAAATGGAAAATATCTTTTAATTCTATCTTTGAACTTCTTAAGACCTTTAATGCCTTTAGAGGACCAACCTTTTTTTTCTTTTTGATTCTTAATAAACGGAATTTGAGCACATTTATGAATTCCTCCCTCGTCAAATGTACTTTTTTTAATGAATTTGTTTTGGTAATAATGCTCGTGTGGCGCATTTTAATTAATATAATGTCCAAAATAAGTAATCTGACACAACTTTCTAAAGCGCATAAATTTCTTATAAATAAATTAGAAAAAATTTATAATTTCAAATAACTAAGGTTATATATATATACTAAAAAAAAAAATTTTTTTTCCGGAAAATCTGCTTTACAAAAAGGATTGTTCTTGATGTTATTTGATTGAAACTGGACGTGACATACAAAAACAGATGATTTCTTTGGAGAAAGTATTCCGGATATGATCGGATCAAAAAAAATTTTATGAGTCATAACTATAAAAAAAAAAATTTTTTCTTTTTTTTTTTGCTTCTCGAACGTAACTTGTCAAATTCTACCCGTCCTCTTTATTTTTTTTTTTAGTTTTTTAATTAAAGTTCTTTTTTTTTTTTTTTTTTTTTTAAAAAAAAAAATATCAAAAGTGGAGGTTATAACTAAGAATGGCAGCAACACCTATAAAATTTTCCACACAAACTTCTGTCCTACAAAAATCACCAGCTTCTTCACAAAAAAGACAAGAAGCTTCCAAGGCATGGCTGCATTTCGTGGCCGGAGGGTTAGTGTTCTATTTATATTTGATATTTTAATAAATTCCTTATTTTTAATATTTTATGTTCGCAAATTGTAGCACTGGAGGCATGGTTGGAGCAACTGTAACTTCTCCATTAGACGTCGTTAAAACACGCCTACAGGTACTTTACTCATAAGTTTTTTTTTTCATTACATGATTACAGTTATGAATCAATGGTTTGCTAGAGAAATACTTTTTTGTAATTAGTCAACGTATTATATATCAACACTTAAATCATTACAACATTCAAAACGGGCAGCTACTCCGATTATAGGACATTTTATACAAACGGGCAAAATTTTATCGTAAGAATTTATTTTCCCCCCCCCCCCTTTTTCACGACTTATTCTCGGAAGATTTTTGTAATAAAAACATTCTTGTTTAGGGAAGTGTATCGTTATGAAGGATGGAGAGCATTGTTCAAAGGGTTAGGTCCAAATCTGGTCGGAGTCGTGCCTGCTAGGTATTTATCATTGATTTGATATACTTTGAAATATATAAAGGTTTACTTATTTGTATACAACTTTTTTATTTTTTTTTATTTTTCAGAGCAATTAATTTTTTTACGTATGGTAACGGCAAGAAAATTTTGACAGAACTGAATGGAGGTCACGAAACTTCGTTAGTTCATTTAACGGCTGCGATCACAGCAGGTTGATCGATCTTATAATTCAAATTGATTAGTTTATCCTTTCATATATTATTAACCTAGAGATTTCTTATATTTTTCGATGAACAGGAATTACCACATCAACAGCAACCAATCCGATATGGCTCGTGAAAACTCGAATGCAACTTCAATCATCCTCAAATACATCATCACATATCCCTATGAAATATAAGAATTCTTATGATTGCGTCAGAAAAGTTGTCCGGGAAGAAGGTGTACGAGCTTTGTATAAAGGACTTAGCGCATCATATTTAGGTATTTGATTGCCCAATCTTTTACTGAAATCATAATGCAAATTTCTTTCGTGACTGACTGACTTGATCCATATGATGAAACAGGTATTACTGAAGGCACTATACAGTGGGTGACATATGAATATTTGAAATCAACTTTTGCGAAAAACCGAGAGAGAAAGAGAATCATATCCGGCGATTTTATAAAATCTGATGACAAATGGCCATGGTTTGATAAATTAGCCGCCGCTGCTTCCGCGAAACTGATCGCTGCTTGCGTCAGTTATCCTCATGAAGTATGTATCGCGTATCGTTTTAGAAAGTCCATTAACCACCTTTCTGATCAATCTCTATTTGAAATTTCAAAAAGGTTATCAGAACTCGTATGCGTCAAATTCCTGAACATGGCGATGTTAAGTATAAAGGTCTAGTACGATGTATAAAGACAATTATTCGAGAAGAAGGTGTTGCGGCAATGTATGGTGGTATGACTGCTCATTTAATGCGAGTTGTACCAAATGCCGTTATCATGTTCTTCTGCTATGAAGCAATTTTACATTATGGTGGGGCTTCAAAGTAAAATTTTGGATGAATTAAAATTTTCTCGATTCTGAATGAAAAATTTTTAACCTTTTGTCATATTTGAGTTGAAACGAAATAAGTGTAAGAATTATTCTTGGAATTTGTTGTATTGTATATATAATGTACTGACAAAAAGCATCTATAGTGCATCCTTCCTCCTAATAATTTGTTGATTGTAATGAAATTTTTAGATAAAAGTAAGTATAGAAAGTAAAAATAATTCAAAATAAAAATATCAAAAAGATTTTATATTAACAATAAAAACAAAATTCTCCTAATATTTTTATTGTCTTGAAACTTTCAATTCTTCCAATATATTACTCGCTCCTTTTTCTACCAAAATCCTGGCGACCTCTATACCAAGTTCATTTGCTGCTTCGATTCCACCTTCATCAACGTTTTTCTGACCTTCAGCTTTAATGATTTCTGACCCATCCAGTCTTGCTACTAATCCTAATAATTTCAATTCTCGTGTTCCATTTTGTGCCTCTATGAATTCTGTATTAACACCAATAGGAATACTACATCCACCTTCCAAAAAACGCAATAACGAACGTTCTGCTGTACATCTTAATCTGGTGTCTTTATCTTCAAGCACAGATAGAAGTTCAATAATCTGTTTGTCATCAATACGACATTCAACAGCCAATGCACCCTGTCCGACTGCATGTAACATAACTTTTGGTGAAAAAGTTTGAGATATTCGATGACTCATTCCTAAACGTTCAAGACCTGCCACAGCCAAAATAAGGGCTGAGTACGGTCCACTTGAAGCATCTAATTTTGCTAGCCTTGTGTTTCTTAAGTAAATTTGTATTCATTTCGGGAGATGATCGTTAAATTCTCTTTATTTTCGTTAGAAAAAAAAAAAAAATAAATAAAAAATAGATCACTTACAAATTTCCTCTCTTTTAAGTTTGCAATCATAAAATTGGAATGAATAAATGTCAAAATAAATAAAGAAACGTGTTATTAAAAATTGAATAAATAAAAAGTAAAAATAAATTCATACAACATCCATTAACGTTAAATTCGGATAAGAAGCTTTCAGTTGAGCTGATCTTCTAACACTGCTAGTACCAATCACACTGTCTTTTGGTAATTCATCCACCGACTTATACGGCAAGCCTTCTTTTATGACAAGCGCATCTTCAGGATTTTCTCGTTTTAAAATGGCACCAATAGTCATTCCTTCTGGTAAATTTGTAGGTAAATCTTTAAGACTATGAACAACTAAATCTACAATGTTATTTTGTAAGGCGACCTCAAGTTCTTTGGTGAATAATGATTTTTCTCCAATTTGAGATAAAGGTTTCGAGAGTATTTTGTCACCGATTGTTGTCATACTTTTAATAGGGAATGTATAATCAGGAAATGAATCTTCCAAGAGTTGTTGTACTCGTTTAGTCTGAATTAAGGCCAATTCGGATTTACGACTACCAATTGTAAAAGTATTGCCATTTTTTGAGGACATTATTCGGATAATTCGTCAAAAATTGAAGGCAAGTGAAGAGTCAATAGACAAAAGAGGATAGATGATGATATATTTGTGGCAAACTGAAACTGAATGAATGCTTTTTAAGTATGTTGAGAGAAGATTTACTTTTTTAATTATTGTGAGAACGATCCATCTAGATCCGATTTATCTAGATCCTAGAACATCTGTTTTGAATTCACGATACAAACGTTACACCACTTAACAGGAAATACTACAACTTAAAAAAAAAATTCCGAAACTTCCAAATTTTTTTCGTATCGCCCAAAAATCCAAATTCAAATATCAAGCTATAATTAAGTCGATCCGAAAAAATAAATCTATGCCCCCATTCAAATCCTTATTTTAAAGTAATAGTATTTCTAAGATTTCTAGAGTATATAATATGTCATTTAAATGAATTAAAATTCAAAATGCCTGCTATTTTATTTCTACTCTACAAGCAGGGGAATTTGGTCATTCAACATGCATATGGACCCAAATCGACTATTTTGAGATAAAATATCGATCATAATACAAATAAAAAAAAACATATAATTATATATATAATAAAAATTAGTGCTAAATATAGCTAAACCAGATATTGCGTAACGCAATGTTTTATTATGCAAATGATCTTCCTTTATTAAGTAAAAAATGTTTCCTACATAAAAAAATTGTTATATTAATTTTGGTCTCTTTTGATCATCTCTATTATTTTTTTTCACTCTTAAATCCTTTTGAAGGAATCAATTATATACTATTTTTAATTTTTTAATAAATTTATTCGGGAAATCCAAAGAATCTTTATTTTGAAATTTAGGACAGGGTCGTCCTAAGGAGCGAATCCCAACTTAACGGTCTCATGAAAATTTCCTTTCATAAAATTTATTACAATTTTATAATATGGGTTACTTATTATAGATAAAGACATTTTATAACTAGTAATTTTTAAAAATTGTTCAACATTCCAAGTAAGCTCGAATCTTTAGGCGTTAACGTGTGATTATTTTAGATTGCTTCTTGAAATCTTTTCATCTACTCTATCTTTTAATAAAAAGGCTTTTAAACTTATTTTGGATCAGATCTATATTATTAGCATGCCCTTCCGTCAATTTAAATAGGAAATCAGGTTCTGTAATATTTCTTATTTTTCATTAAATTATTAAATTATTATTATTATGATTATGCCTTTTCCTTTGCAGATAATATATTATTGTACAATATAAATAAAGTCTAATACCATTAAAGAAATCTAAAATGTTCCACATACATTAAAAAGAACAAGATAATATATTAAATTACGTCGATGAGAAGAAGTCCAAAAATCAATAACAAATAGTGTATTAATGATGTCGACGAGGCTTAAATATGAGGACAATAACAAGTCCAAAAATTAATAACAATAAAAGTAAAATTATCTTTCTATTTCTAGTTCTTTTTTGATATTGTGCTCCCTAGAAAAGTAATGATTTAAAAAAATAAATTATCAAAGAAATCTTTCAAATTAAAAAAAAAAAAATTTTTTTTTTTTTTTTTGATCGTCGTTTACCTTATCTAATTCTCTGACAGCTGATTTAACATCAACATTCATTTGTTCAACATTATAATCAATTCGATCTAACAATGTTCCTTGATCAATAACAAGTGCTTGAAGATCTCTAAAAATTTCTGCTATTGTGTATATAGATTTTGCGATTTCATTTATTTCTCGTTCTCGCTGCGAAATAATTGCTTCCGAAGATTCCACAACTGCAAGTTGATTTGAAGTAAATCCCTATTACCGAAAAAAATATGTAAACGATTATAATCTCGACATAACTTTTAAATATTATGCCTTTCTCATACCAATTCCAAATCGTCCTCATTTGAATCGTTGCTTTCTATTGAAAATAATCCTGAACTCTTAGACTCTCTTCCTTTAAGTTCTATATATAAATATAACTTCATTAATTTTCTTTTTTTTTAAAAAAAAAATAATAATAATAACAGAAATAAATTTCCTAAAAAAATTATATATTTGAAAAGCTACTTTTCATGTACAATGCTTGTTGTTTTCGAAAGCCCGATGATAAATCTTGTAATTTTGAAGCTAATGATGTTTGAATATTTTTGCTCATTGCTCGTTCTTGATTTGATGCTGCTGATGATAAACTTTCAGCAATTCGTTTAATTTTCCGTTGGCATTGTTGAAATAACTAAAATAAAAAAAAACGTTTAATAGGGTTGACTTAAATAAAAAGAAAAAAAATTATTATCAATTACGTGTGTGATTTCGTCTGTTAATCGTTCTATCTCATCTTCTTCCGTAGTTCTATCATCAAATCCTGGGAGAACATGTTTCTTATGAAGAGATTCTAACGTTGGAACTATAAAATAAAATATTAGGATTGACTTGTACAATACAGATATGATGTGTTAATTTTTATGACTAACTTAGGTTTTTTATTTGTTCGATATCATCGTCCACCTCACCAACTATATCCACCCTGTAATAGATAATACAAACATAGTGTTCTCGGGCTTAGAATAAAAGTTAACGGAGAATAAACCATAAATCTAATAAATTCAGATTTTCACCATTTTGGTGGTAAGACGGAAAGTTCTATAACGTGGTCCGAACTTTCTATTAAACCTGTATGCTCTGAAGTATTATAAGAATCATAACCATTTGAAGAGGTAGCTAAGGGTCGGGAATGAGTATTTCTCGCAAACGTATTACGATATTGTAAAAATAGGAGTGTTCTGCTTCTGGTCGTCATCGGAAAATGTTTGTGTTGCAAAAAAATTTTTAGCAATTTCTCAGCTATATGTTTGAGACGCGATCTGATCATTATGGACCGGATCGGTCCGTCACGTGGTCAATTAACCAAGGAACCAAAATCATCCAATCAGACGGGTCGGAAACCGTCCGATGTCCGCTCGCACAAAAATTGAGTCGATACTGTACGTCGTTCGCTCCGGACTAATTAGAATTATATAATTTTTTTTTTTTTTTTAAATTGATTATTTAGAAATATGTAAACCCATACATAGTCGGTTAAAATTAAATAATCACACATGCGTCTTAAAATTAGTCGAGTACAGGGTTGTATAAAAAACAACTTTGTTATATATTTTTTTATAAAGGTCTAATTCTCACTTGGAAGTGAAAGAAAGGTTTTTATTGCAGCATTTTCAAAGATTCATTGACAAAATTGTAATATAATTTGCTGATAATGAAAAGTTATTTTTTCTTTTTATATAAATTCCAAAAGAATCATGATTTTGCAAAATTCCGTGAAAACAAATGAAACTCTTGTTAACAATTTTCAACAAAAATTATTCCATGGTTAGCCAGAATGTTCTTCATCCATGATGATGGATAAAATACAAATCATGCATTTATTATACACAAGTATTGCATCCCGCCAAAGAATAATACACGTTCTCTTTGAGGACAATCATCATGATAAAATGGCGCGTTATTCAAACCATTGTAGCAATAATTGCACCTAAATTTCCAATATATTTCCAAAAGAATATTAATTACCAAAGAAAAAAATAACCCGTTATTTTGAGGGCTTCTTCATCGCATGATTTTTTATGGAATATAATATCATAGTTCTTTATAAGCAAAGGAATCGTAAACGCATTTTATTTCGAACTTTTTATATATTCAACAATTGTCTTATATGGTTCGGTTTATGCGTTTATAGTACCTTATTAGATTTAATTAAAAATAAACAATAAATGGGAGTGTTTCTAGGAAAATCAGGTTCCGAGAAATTTTGACTAAAATTAAGAACTTAATACATTTTAATCTAATAACATCAAAAACTAAAATGCAATAAAAATCTCAATTTTGCTAAAAAATTCCCGGAACCTGATTTTCCTAGCAATTTAACCCAAATAATAAAAACTTTACGTATAAAATCTATTAATTTTGTTAATTTGAGATTATCTTAATGTTTTATTTCATATGACGAAATAATTTATTTTCTCATTTCGTATATTTTCGATCCTAAGGACCGGTCCAAAGATCGGTCTAAAAATCGATTTCCTTCGGTCCAATCTCACCCAGATCGCTAAAGACCGGGATGGATCGGATCATAAAATATATGTTCGTCGTAGATCAGGTGACCCAAATTTAAATAAGGTATGTCACGTGATTAGTAATTTATACAATTATTTTCATCTTCACAATTCGCTTTTCCGTTATTTATTTTTTTTTATTTATAAAGTCCATGTGAAATTAATTTTCGTTAATATAAAAAAAATTTTTTTAAAAAAAGGGTGTCATCTCAAAACCAATAAAAAGCCGTTTTTTTTTTGTTTTCAATAAAATAATAATAGAATAATAAATTTTTACGTAAATAATGATTATTATTATAATTATTATTATTTTTTGTGATTGTAAATGTTTTAAATTTTCTATGAATCTGTACAAAATTATGAACTTTCATATCAACAAGTCAATTCCTAATAAAAAACGGTAAGTTGATTAGTGTAATGAAAATATGAAAATATAAAAAGTATACATCATATATCATAAAAATTTACCATAATAGCATTAACGATATCGTTACTATTATTCTTCAGTGCCTTTACCGCCTTAGGCCGAGACACGTTCTGAAAATATATGAAAAAATAATTTAGTAAAGGTTCATTTAAAAAAGTAAATGCACGAAAAGTTAAGACAATAAAATGAAACGCACCGCTTGACTCATAACCAACTCAATATCCTTAGCCTCAACATTAGATTCGTCCACATTCAAATCATCTTCGTCTTCCTCAACAGTTTCTTCGTCTACCTTGGTGACTTCTTGAGCAGTAGCCGCAGCTTCTGCAGCTTGGAATTGTTGAGCGGCATTAGCTTGAGCTTGAGAATTAAGATCCTCAATTTTGGCTTCACCAAACACAATGTAACAGTCAGAATTGGCAGATTTATAGACATCAGGATTGGAAACAACAAAAAGAATCTAAAGTAAATAATGAAAATTTTAGATGATTCGAATTGTATACAATTTTAATCTTAAAAAAGATAAAAAACATACATTTTTTGGTCTTCGGATGGTGACACGATTAATCCCTGGTACAACTTTTAACCCTAATTTCAGCATTGCCTTACGAGCCTTCTTTTCACCACGACTCTGAATTTTGGAAATATCAGCTGGGGTAATTCCAGGAGGAACCATGGTCTCCTCTTCTAATTCTGGGAGATCTTCTTCGGAATCTTCCTCCGATTCAACAGTAGCAGTTTTTTTTTTATCCGTAGATTCCTCAACGATCTGTTTTGAATTGCTACTAATACTTTCACTCTCTATATTTTCCTTTTTTGTTTCATCATTAATTTCCTCAATTTTGTTTTCGTCGGTGATTTCCACAATCCTGTCTGTGCTTTCCATTATGTCTGAAGGTGAAATTTTACCTAAAAAAAAAAAAAAAAAAAAAAAAATATTGGGGTGTACTTTTTACTTTCCTAATACGTGTTGATCAATCAATCAATTTTGATGATAATCTAAATTGTTTAACTTTTTTTTATGAACGTAATCTTGGCCAAAGTTAATTTTATTTGTAAAAAAGGTAATTTATCTTTTGGGAATAGATAAAGAATTATCATGAAATAATTTCGTTAAATAGCAAAACTGCTCCGCAGTTAAATTCCCAGGTCGTAATGACATATCAACATTAAATTGTTCGATGATTTTTGAGAGAATTTCTTTTTCACCCTTCGAAAGATCCTTCTTTAATTTGCTGTTAACGTGCAATTTATAAATTGTTGATTAACCAAACCAAAGGAAGGAAAAAAAAAAAAAAAAAAAAGTAAACGTACTTAAATATAGAATTTATTGATTTCCTCCGGGATAAATAAAAATATAGGACAATTTCTTGCAACAAATTTACTGGAGCTAAAATGTAATTCAAAAAAAAAAAAAGATAAAAATAATATGTTTATAAAGAATGATTTCACTTTTTTATATATGTAATTACCTTGCAATAATGGATTTTTTAAAGCCGTTAATTGAATTACGCTTGCGTCAACCTTGAATAAGCAAAATTTCGCGTTATTTCGATTACAAACATTTAATTGAATCATGAAAAAGGATGAATTACCTTTGGACGAGGTACAAATACACTTGAAGGAACTTCGTAAATCTTTTTAACATCACAAAAACTTTGTACCAAGACTGACATCCGACCACGTCGTGAACTAGTTGTATCGGCAACAATTCTCTTTTGATTTATTTAATTTAAAAAAAAAGCAAAAGAAGATAAAACATTTTACAAGTCATTTCGTCAACGAAGGAACACTTACATCTCCAACTTCTTTTTGAAACATTAAAGTCATTTTAATGTTAGGAAATTTAAATATTCCCGATCGATTTGACAACATATTTATCCATTGTCCGAGAAGTGGAGTTGCAACATTAAATGGAAGATTTCCAATTAGATGTAAACTAGAATCTGAATTTGATAACTTAATAAGGATCTACTCGATAAGAAATAAAATGGCTATCGTCGAGTCTTTTTGAGCTCGCAAAATACCTGAACTTAAGGTTTCGCGTATTTGCGCAGCTTCCATAATCTTTTCATGATCGATTTTTAACATGTCACCTTTTATTATCTTTAAAGAAAAAAGAAAGAAAGAAAGAAAAAAGCGCATGACATTTCTTGCAAAATATAAACATCTTGAATTCAAGTTGATAGATACATTACTTTCAAAGTATGTTCTGAAACTTCAACCAATTGCTATCAAGAAATGTTTTATCGATCAGTAATGATCAATCAACTTAATCAACTTAATAATTGGCAAGAATATTATTACCATAAGGACAGGTAAGAATCGAGAATCTTTTTCTATGGCTACGATGTTGGAAATTCCTGTTTCTAATAATGACCTTGTTAACGAACCAGGTCCTAAAAAATGAGAAAATCGTTGAATTTTATTCAAATTACGATTTAAATTGATGGCATAGAATAAAAACATCTAAAGTACCAGGTCCAACTTCAATGACGAGCTTATCATTTTGACTTATATTTGCGCATTTTACAATTTTATCTATTAAAAAAAATACGATAAAAAATTTTAAAAAAATTTCGACTCGAAATTTTCTTAAACGTAAATAACGACCTGTAATATTTTTATCTAAGATAAAATTTTGACTTAGTTGAGCCCTTGCTGTTAAACCGTATATTTTCACCAAATCGCGTACGCCTAACAATCTCGGTAGTTGTTTAGGTATCATTTCCGATAAAAATCGGAATTTGGGATTTACAAATTTTAAATAAAACCTTGATAGTGAGTGATTGGTCAAAGTCTCAACATCTGTGGAATGATGAATGATGATGTAAGCAAACGAAGTCTTGATAATATAAATTGGAAAAACCGCAGATTCAAAGCCTCATTGTTGGTTTGCACCTCGGATTCCTCTGTTCACAATAAAGAAAATAATGTGCCCCTCCCCATTATGAACAGTGAGGAACCGTCGTTCACGTCCTTCTCCCCACCTGTTAACAGTAACTCTTCTACCGCAAAGACGTCGTCCACTACGCCTCATCACCTGAGATCTCAGACGAGCTTAACTACCGTCGTAAAAGCTCAAATTTCCTTTCTATTGTCAATCCTTTCGACTGACAATTACGAAAAGCACGTTGCTGAAATAAATTCGGTAGGTATACGCACGATCACAACTTAGATCTGAACTCCTAATAGCTTAAATATACTGGTCCCATCTTAAGAATTAGGTTTTAAAAACTTGGGTTCCTTCAAGGAAACTAATTCTAGATCTACTACCTGTGTAAAATTTGATTCATCATTCGAGTCGTTATAAAATGTTTTCTTTACTGATAACCGAATTTTAATACGTTTAGCATTTAATCAAACACGGTCCAGATACATATTTTCATTTATTACGACGACTTCTGATTGACAACCAGTCTAGAATTTGCAACATTGGAACCCGTAGTTCAGAATTGCTCAATCATTCTTTGAGCTATCGTCTTTTAATTGAAAAGGTTATAGAAGCTGCAAGCGATCCTGCTATCTCTTCAGTCTTCTGTAAAGCTTTAAATTCCATAGATCACAGCGATTCTTTTAAAGATCTTGACCTAAATAGTTTTTTGGAACACGTTGGAATTAATCCGGTCGAAAAGGTTGGACTTTGCATTTCATTGTTATCAGCAAATAGAAAGGAAATTGTTGAGCAAGGTAAGAAATTTTTTTTTTTTTTTTCTCCCTTTCATTATGTTCGACAATCATAAAAATTATGTTTTGTTTTTTTTTAATTTGACTTGCAGCGCGCGAGATCATTAGACAAAATTTTGATCCGCTTGTTAAGGCTTTGGGAGATCAGTCAATTCAGGCTAATTTATCAGAGAAACTACTTCATCATTTAATTGCTTATTATAAATCATACGAGGCTGAGAGTAGAAGCCTTTCATCCACACAAAGTGATTCTTCTTCAAATACTTCGGCTGCCTTCAAACCTGTACCACTTGCTCTCCTTCTTAATTCAAATCAGACTGTCCAGACAGCGTAAGTAGTATAAATATATTTTGTTTATTCATATTTGTAATCCGTACTTATCTTCAACACAATAAATACATTTAGCGATTTTTCTAATACTAAAATGGGAGAAACAAGTGATCAATCTTTGTCCAAAATGATGCATGATTTGGGCTATAATTGTTGTAGTTCTGCTCCTGCATTTCGAAATGTCTTGAATCAATTTGGAGTGACGTCTGCTGAGTCTGGTGAGATTATCAGAGATGACGATGTTGCGCAAGCTATTGGTATGATGGCAATAACACATACCAATCCTGAGGATGGTGGCGCGTGGAATCAGGGCGCAGACTCTCAAGAACGTAAGCAGACGTGGGACATTGAAATTTTCGCATCAACCTTGGTGGAACTGGTTAGTATTTCGATCATTTTAAAATTCAACGAAATTCTACTTTATGCTAAATAAAATATTATTCAATAACTTTTGTTTTAGCAACCTCACTTAGACTGGGTTAAGATAATAGAAAAATTAGATTACCCAGAATTTAATATTCATGATACAAAAGGTTTGGAAATAATATTATCAAGTTTTAGGAAAGCGGTCAAGGTAATTACATTGCTTTCGTTATTTTTATTATTGAATCATCTTTTTACAAATTTCATTCTTGATGTAGGATCGACAACAATTCCCGCTAGATGTGTTTTGGAGACATTGGAATAATCTCAACGGACAATTTAGCTTCTTACGTCGTATAGTGCAGGCACCGCCTGAAATTTTTAATATTAATGATTACCCTGTTCAAAAAGTTTTATCTATGGAAGATTTCGCAACGTCAAATGCAAATCTCAAATCAATGTCTGGAATGCTCACGACGAATCCGTGGAATTCGGTCGAGTTGATAGATACTATGATAAAAATGGCCGATAGTAATTTTTTCGAGGAGGTTAGACAGTTATTCGAAAGGGCGGCTAAGCAGACTCCTGAAGTCATGTGTTTAGGACTTGCTCAAGTACAAGTAATTATCAGTATTATCACACATAATCGTTACTTTACATTATAATTTATCGTCAAAAATTAACAATCGATATGATTTGTTAGAAACCTTGGAACCCACTGCATCAAGAAATTGTGAATAGATTGATTTCAATGTTTTTGGCCGGTCATTCAAGTTCAACGCCTGTTCTTACGCGATTATGGCAAGTTAACAGTGGTCTATTCATCGAAGGTTGCCTTGAAATGTATAAAAAAGATGCCATGACCATATCAAGGATACTAGACATTGCACAGGATTTGAAGGTAAGTGCTTGGGATGCACCCTTGTATTATGATTTGGAGATGGGATGCTTTTTTTTTTAGCAATTGATATCAAATCTTATTAAACGCATTATCATTTTGGATTTTTTCGTCAGCAGATCTTGAGTCCGCTTTTAGAAGTTCAGTCATTCTCTTTCTCTATTGACTTGGCAGCTCTCGCCTCACGGAGAGAATACCTTAATTTAGAAAAATGGTTACAGGACAATATCAATGAATATGGTGATTCTTTTATTCACGATTGCTTGGATTTTCTCAGCCAGAAAATTTCCATGGAAGTTACACGTGAAAGCAATGGTAGCCTTCAGTCAGTAAGGCTTACCGGTGATGTATTTGCTATTTTCCTCCGCATCCTTTCAAACAGGTTTTAATTTTATTTATTTATTTATTCTTTTAATTTAACAAAATTTTTGTATCATTACTTAATTTTCCTTTTTATCGGTCAGTTCAATGTCTCAGGCAAATTCTGAATTATTCAAAGAGATCAATAAGGCATCTATACATGTCTATCCACGTCTCCTGCCCTCAACTTCTGCTGAAGGAAACGTTCCGGATCAAACTTTCACGCCTGATGTAGAAGAAGAAGCAAATTCATATTATGAACGAGTATACAGGCAAGAGATCAGTATCGAAGATTTTATTAAACTTTTACAGAGATTCAAGCATTCTGAAGATCATAGAGAAAACCAAATCTTTTCTTGCATGGTGCACAATTTATTCGACGAATATCAATTCTTCCCGAAATATCCGCAAAGAGAATTGACAATTACTAGTGTAATATTTGGGTCGCTTATTCAGTATCAACTCGTGATATATGAGGCGCTTGGTATCGCTCTTCGTTACGTTTTAAATGCTCTTAGGAGTCCTGCAGATTCTAGAATGTTTAACTTTGGGGTTCAAGCTTTATCGCAATTTCAGTCTCGTCTGCCGGAATGGCCACAATACTGCTCACAAGTTTTACAGATCACACAGTTGCAACAATCCCACCCCGAAATTGTACAATACGTTAGGTCAACGCTTACCATTAATTCTAATAAGAGTATCTCTGCGACTGCTACATCATCTGCTATCACATCTACTACAACTGCTAGTAGTAGTAGCAGCAATATTGAACAATCTACTTCAAAACCTACTATTAATATCACGGGCGCGAATATCAACTCTAATAATAAACCTGTATCTGAACAGAATAACAACAAAGTGATTGACAGGCCAGCTTTCACCGCTTTGAACCTTGATACATTGTTGGCCGCCGACAAAGTTGATTACGAGGTTCCAAGTGAAGCAGTTCAAGACAAAATTTTATTCATAATTAACAACGTCGCTCAAAGTAATTTGGAAACTAAAGTTGCTGAAATGAAGGACATCCTTAAGGAATCTCATTATCGTTGGTTCGCCAATTATTTAGTGGTAAAAAGAGCTAGTATTGAACCAAATTATCATCAACTTTACCTTCAATTTCTCGAATCACTAGAAAGTCAATCTCTTTGTCGTCACGTTTTACATGAAACATTTGCAAATGTCAAGGTTCTTTTGAATTCCGAAAAAACAGTACAATCATCATCTGAGCGTTCTTTATTGAAGAATCTTGGATCATGGCTTGGTGGCATGACAATAGCTAAAAATAAACCTATCAAACATAAGAACATTGCATTCAAGGTTTGGCTAATCATTGATAATCAATTGATGATTTTAAAGAAAAGTTGTTCGATGCATATTAAACCCCTTTCATTATTTATATAGGAACTTTTGGTTGAAGGATACGATAGTAATAGGTTAATAGTGGCTATTCCTTTTGTGTGTAAAGTGCTTGAGCAGGCAGGAAAGAGCAAGGTCTTCAAACCACCAAATCCGTGGTTGATGGCCATTCTCAAGTTATTAGTGGAATTATATCAATATGCGGACTTAAAACTAAATCTTAAATTTGAGATCGAAGTTCTTTGTAAAAGTTTGGAAATTGAACTTAAAGATATAGAGCCCACAACGATCATTAAGGATCGTCCACCAAAGGAGATGGTCGCAAATCAAACAGAGACAATTGCACAAGAATTTGATAAGTGGCCCACTAACAAATTACAACAACAACAAACAGCTCCGATTTTATCCGCGCAAACGATCTCAATTCCCAATTCCTCACCATTAAGTGATGAACCTGTTACGAACCTGGGATCATACATTACAATAAACCCTAATTTGCCAGTATTTGCAAATCAAGGGTTAAGAAAATTCGTCCATTTAGCCATGGATAGAGCCATCCGTGAAATCATCACTCCCGTAGTGGAAAGATCGGTAACCATTGCTGGAATTTCAACGAGAGAATTGATCATTAAGGATTTTGCGATGGAACCGAACGAAGAGAGAATGAGAAATTCGGCTCATCTAATGGTACAAAATTTGGCTGGTAGTTTAGCGTTAGTAACGTGTAAAGAACCATTAAGAATTAGTATGGTAACTCATCTGAAGAATTTACTCTTGCAAAATGGATTTAGTGAGCAAAGCATACCTGAACAAGCAATTCTTATAGTGGTGGCCGATAATCTTGATTTAGCTTGTTCGTTTATTGAGAAAGCAGCTATGGACAAGGCAGTACCTGAAATTGATGAATCATTGGCATCATCTTTCAGTAATCGCAAAAAACATCGTGAGAGAACTGGTCAGCCATATTATGATATGTCAGTTTATTCTGGTATCTCGCGTTACATGGGTAACCTACCTGAACCATTACGGTTGAAGCCTAATGGTTTATTGCCTCAACAATTGAGAGTATATGAAGACTTTACCCGTATTCCTCGTTTAAGTAATCAAGCCGCAGAGATCTATTCCGATCGTAGTGTAAGATCTGGTATGCTTAGAGGTCAACAACAACAACAGGACTTTGGCGTTAATCATCTTTATAATTCAGCTGCTGACATGCAATTTGATGGCCCACAAGTACAAATGCCTATCACGGCTCACCAAAGTTTGGAAAAATTTGCGCAATATCTTTCAGAGTTAGATAAACTGATAAGTAAATCACCAAATTCTTCTTGGACATCTCTACCTTCCAATCACGATATTCGTTTGTTGGTCAAAGAAATTCCTTCGTTGGCAACTCAATCATTTAACCGTGATGAGACTGCGTTGCATTTTTCGCAGAAAGTTGTTCAACTATTATATAAGAATGATTCAAATCTTTCACGAGAGGTGTACGTTATGCTTCTTGAAAAACTCTGTGAAATTTCTTATAAGGTCAACAAGGAAGTCACCGCCTGGCTGATTTATGCAGATGACGAGGTAAGCGTTTGAATTTATTTGTACTTGTTACTTTTTTTTAAAAAAATAACGTATGGTTGATTTAATTATCGTGTAATTTTGAAAATTCATTTCAGCGTAAATTTATCGTACCAGTGGTAGTTGCTTTAATCAAAGCCGGTCTTATCAACGTCATTGATCAAGATACACAACTCGCAAAACTTATCGAAAATGGAAGACCAACAGTCATTGATTTTACCGCGAAATTGATTCGAGAATGTGTTTTAAGAGATCCTCCTTATGCTAAACGTAGTGACTTTGTAAATTCGTTAGATGCTCTTACTAGATTAACGCAACGTGGCAAATCCCCTGAAGCGTAAGTGATAACAACCAAAATTTATATATTTTTATTTATATTTATATTTATATATTATATATTATATATTATGTATTTTCTATGAGTAGTGTGATCCAACTTTTAGAAGACTTAAGACCGCGGTCAAGCCGGGAGGTACTTGGTAAAGATGTAGAGAATGCGGGATTGCGTGAACAATTGACATTCTTTTTTGCTGAATGGGTTCGAGTATATCATCATCCTACTTCAAACGAAAAGACTTACGCTAGTTTCATTATGCGGGTACGGTATTTGTTGAATGTAATTAGTTAATATCCATCCATTCATTCATGAAAGCTTAACATGTTTTATTTAAAGTTACAGCAACATGGCGTATTGAAAGGCGAAGAAATTTCCTCAATGTTTTTCCGTGTTTGCACAGAAATGAGCGTCGACCATTACTTAAAACAAAAGGCGACAGCTCAGGCAACACCCGCCATCGCTTATCAGGCTATCGACGCTTTCTCCAAACTTATTGTTCTATTAGTAAAGTATCATTCGGATCCAGAAGGCGTTAATAATAATGTTGTCAAAATCAATTATCTGACGAAAATATTGTCAATTATTGTGTTGGTGCTGGCACAAGCACATGAACAACGTCGTCATCAATTTAACCAAAAACCATTCTTCCGATTATTCTCGAGCTTGCTGAACGACCTAAATTCGTATGAGCAGCAACTTCAGCCCATTTACTTCCAGATTCTCACAGCTTTAAGGTATTTAAGAAAAGAAAATTTATTTTTAAAGAAAAGAATCCCCCAAAAATATATATCATTAAACATACTTTAATTTGTAGTAACAATACTTTCCACACCTTACAACCCATGTTCTTCCCTGGGTTCACTTTTGCATGGCTTTCATTAATATCTCATCGCTTATTTATGCCCAAACTTTTACTCGCAGAGAACCAAAAGGTCAGTCATTTTAATAATATGAAAAACTTTTTTTTTTGGTACTAAATTTATCTAACTTTATAATCATTATTCTTTGTTAGGGGTGGCCTGCTTTTCATAAACTGCTCATATGCTTATTCAAATTCCTTGTTCCATTCTTACGTAATGTTGAGATGATCGAAACCACACGATTACTGTACAAAGGAACCCTGCGAGTCCTACTCGTGTTGTTGCATGATTTTCCAGAATTCCTTTGTGATTATCACTTTAGTTTTTGTGATGTTATCCCCCCATCTTGTATTCAGCTTCGAAATTTGATTTTAAGCGCTTTCCCACGTAATATGAGATTACCCGATCCATTCACACCCAATTTGAAGGTTGATTTGTTACCAGAAATATCACAGTCACCGCGTGTATTATCTGATTATGCATCCGCTTTGGATGCCAACAATCTAAAAAACGATATAGACAATTATTTAAAAACACGTTCACCAATAACATTCCCATCTGATTTGAAACAAAAACTTTTGTTTGAATCCAGTGGTCAACCGGAGATGTTATCTACCGGATCTAAGTATAACGTCCCAGTAATCAACGCTCTTGTCCTTTATGTTGGTATCCAAGCGATTAGTCAGCTTCACAACAAATCGGCTCAGGGAATTACACACAGTGCACCTATGGACATTTTCCAACAATTGCTTACTGATCTGGATTCGGAGGGTGGGTTATATTGAATTTAAGAAGCAAAAATTATTTATGTATTTTAATAAATGTATATAATATAATATATTTAAAAATTTTTTTTCTTTTACATTTTAGGTCGATATCTTTTTTTGAGTGCTATTGCCAATCAACTTCGATATCCTAATAGTCATACCCACTATTTCAGTTGTATATTATTGTATTTGTTTGCGGAGGGTAATCAAGAAGTAATTAAAGAACAAGTGACAAGGTACGTTAAATTCTTAATTTATCTTTTGTTTAATCTTTATGAATATTATTTATATGTAAAATGTTTTGAATTATAGGGTGCTTCTCGAACGATTAATTGTTAATCGTCCACATCCATGGGGACTTTTAATCACATTTATTGAATTGATCAAGAATCCTCGTTATAATTTCTGGAGCCATTCGTTCACTAGATGCGCGACGGATATTGAACGCTTATTTGATAGTGTCAGCCGGTAATTGTCCCATTTGTTAAAAATACATCTATATTTTTATTAATAATTTGTTGAGGATTATCTAACAAGGCAAATATCTTCGGTGTTTATATAAAAGGTCTATCAATCAAGTGTAGGATCTGTGAATATATTTTTTTTTTTATAAATAAATAAATATATATAGAATTAAAATTAAGAACACAGTACGGAACCGGATCGTTGTTATGATTATGACGTCCGAAACGATTGCAGTTACGATTGAAGTGTTCCATGATTATTTTTTTTTTTTTAAAAAAAAAAAAAAAATTTCCAAGACTTTATTTATATAAAATTATCGATTACAAAAATACCTATAATTTGTGTTAGAAAAAAATTAATAACTTACATCCGTTAGGTAATTATCTTTTAAAGAATGACAAAAAATGTCATCATCAAAAATGTACTCAAAAATTTACATTTACATAATAATTGTACAGCATTTATCGATTTATTTTTATTATTTTTATTTTTTCCTATAGTTTTTTTTTCTCTTCTCTTTTTTTTTCATTTAATTTGATTCTTAAAAAGAACATTTATATTATTCAATATCTTGTATTTTATTGGATAAAAAAAAAATACAATTTTTCAATTTTTATTATTAGGTGTAAAAAATTTTTTTTTTAATAAAGTATTTTAAAAAATAACGCAGCAAAGTTACACATTTACAATCTCTCACAAAAAAGATGCATGTAAAGGATAATGGAAGGGAACCTCACGAAATAAAAAAAAGATCAAATTCTTTAACAGAATTATTCTGAATGAGGAATGAAATTTTTTATTTATATTCAGATAATCTTTCAATTGTAACTTCAAATAGAAAATTCATGATCGTCCGATCGATTTGCAGAATCAGAATCATCGATGATTTTTTTAAATTTTTTATATATATGGCTGAACCTTTTTCACATTCACTTTGTCCCATTCAAGTGAAACTGCGAGTAACAGTTTATTACAGGAACCAAAAATCACGTTTATTTTGCGATCGGCGCATTGCGCTTTGCGTAACCTTTGGTGCATGTGACTGTCCATGAACGCGTATGTCTTTTTGTGAGGTCACCTAGGCAATGCGATTAGGGTGATTCCGCAGGATTGACCGCCTACTTGGTGGTCTGTCTATGTCCACAAAAGCAATTTAAAGCTTCTTGGAATAAGGTCTACTGATTCTGGAGGAGGAATCAGGTATGTACCTTCCTTATTACAGCAATGTTATATTACTAATGAAAATATTTCTACTTAATGAACACAATCATTAACCAGATTTTCTATTACATACTAGAGTGACAAAGAAAATGAGGACGGAGGACCGAGAAATAATTACGTTTATAAAGAGCTCGAAGTTGAAAAGCTAGAAATGATAGAAGCCGAGAAACTGAAATAGTTAAAACAATGGAAGCCGAGAAACTGGAAATAGTAAAAAAAATGGAAGCTGAAAAGTCAAAGCTAGAAAAAGCTCATTGGAAAGATAATGAACATATGAAATCGATGGAGAGCATGTGTAATGTGAGAGGCGCTTTGGAGTTTATACGTTCGCAGGTAATGTTTTATACTTCTTTGCCATCAGGTTTTTAAATATTAAATTTTCTTTCCCATTCACCTATTCTATCGAAGAATAACCCTCCGTTTTCATGGAGCCAGTTTATCCAAAGATAAAGGTTTTACCAAACTTTTAAAGAAAACGTGCGAAAACAATCATCTACGATTTGATGACGTTCAAAAATGTGTAGGAGGGTTACCGTAAACGGTTGACTAAAGTACCCCCTGATGCAAAAAGTACCCTCCTCGTGACCCTTTTACCGATCACCATATAAATAACAATCGTACCTTCCCGGCATTTTTAGAGACAAAAAATTATCATACCCCGGATACAAAACACCAAAGTTTTAAATTTTTGTTTTTAAAAAAATGTATCGTACTCGGGCGGTACAATATTAATCAAAATATTTATTTAGATGGTTATAGTTTACTAGTTAAACCACCTGGAATTACCACTATATTTGTTTGTTTTTCAACAAATCTATTTTTAATAGTATTAACCAAATGCTTTATAAAAGAATCTAAAACTAGAAGAAATTAAGGGTTACCTAATAGATTATGTTGATTCCATATATTTACGTGAATATTAATGTCTTGAGGAAATTGCTCTTTTGTAATTTAAAAATACAATTCAGTCAGGGAATTTACCAAATATATCTTGGCGATCAATTTCCTAATATGGTAAAAATATTGCCGATCAGAATATTCTAGATTATCCCAATCAAAAAAAAATGATTGGTTAAAATTAAAAAATTTTAAATTTAATAAAATTGTTTTATTGATTTTTTATTTAT